AGCATTTTGTTCATTCCCTCAGTCCTTTAAGAAATATATGAGTGAATTTTTCTATTTTAGTACCTAGGAACCATTTACATTGGCTCTTTTGCCTGTATATTTTTTACTTTCATTTTTTTTTTTATTAATAAATTTGTATTTTAGCCAACATTCCTTTTTTCTCCTCCTTATTTTTTTTTCTTTTCTTCCAGTGCAAATTGTTATTCTGTCAATTTAATATTTACCAATGTATTCTGATGAAGTGTTGGTCGAAAAGGATCCTTAAAGAAGAATGCTTTCCTGCATTTTCAAATACATACATACATACATATATATATATATAAATATCAAAATCTTTGATATCAATATATAACTTCCGTTAAGTTAACCGTTTAAATGTGTCAATATCTGCTAACTCACTCATGTCTTCTCTCTCCCCCCTCACTTCGTTAATTTACATATGTTTAATACGGCCCGTCAAAAATGTGTAAATTTTCTTTTCATTTTTTGTTTGGAAGTAAAGTCTGATGATCAGCAGTCCTTTAAAAGGGCTGTGGTGAAATAATTTATTACATGGAAATTTAAAGTGGTCTGTTTTTATTTTTATATATATATATATATATGTGTGTGTGTGTGTCTGTAATTTTTCTTTTCAGACATTAATCAGGCATACACATGACCAACTGCAATTTTGTGTCTGTTATTATACAGTCAGGCATACACATAATGTATTTGAAAACTAAAATCATTAAGGGAGAATACCCATATAAAAGAGAACTGAATTACTGAAAAATCACCTTTATTTGAGGGGGTGAGGAATCTTACACAAAACACCCAGATGAATTTTTATGTGCCATAAAAAGTGCTTGAGAGTCCAGGAATACTTGGACATCTGTGAACAATCATAATGCAAAAAAAATTGCTTGACAATACTGGGTTCATAGTTCCCCAAATACTTGATCATATACTTTTTTCATAAAGAAAAGTAACACCCAAAAGTGTATACTAGGATGGCACACCTAGGAAAAGGTGGTCTATATTGAAGTGGCAGATATATATATATATATATATATATATATATATATATATATATATATATATATATTTCATTAAAAAACAACAGACAAGGTACTATGATTAAGCTTTTTATTTAATTTTTCTTGTGTTCAAACAAGTGTTTTCTTTTTGGGACACAGAGTGTGTAGAAACTGTCCAAATGTTCTATAATTCTGAGCACTTTTGGCTATACTTTTAGCCATTATCAAGGATGATTTTATTTTTCTCAATATAATTAGGTGTGTGCATTGTGTGTATGTTTTTAGTGTTATAGAGATGTTTTATTTTCCAAACATGGTTTACACATTGTGGCCATGTTTGTAATTAATATTATTGAGTGTTGGCTTTTTCTTTTTTTTATTATTAAAACTTAAAAATAATGGAAGCCTTAATAATAAAGAATACTTAGATGGGTGTCCGCTTAAGAATACCAGGTGTTGTAAGCTTGGATGTGCAGATAGTGTAATGGATAATGGCTCAGAATTGTTAATTGGAGAGATGAGTTCTAATTCCCGTTGGGTTTGTTATATTCACTTACTTGCAAATACCCTTGGGAAAGGTATGAATCCAGTACTTCTCCCTCCAGCTATGGATTAATTAGTAAGACTTGTATTTCTAAACTCTTATTATCTCCCCACCCAAAAATTGCGTACAAAATATTTAGGTTTTGGCATTAAATAATCCATAGGAATTGATATGCCACTAAACAAAAATAACCAAACAATCATACCTTTAATAATGATTCATGTGAGTCAAAATTTTGGACACTCTGTATCAATTTTAGCAATATCATACATCAACAACCACCATACTTGTGAAATCTTATTCGTATACTCGAAAAATTATCATTTTAATAGGCATCCAATGTCTATTCTTTTTAATAAAACATCTTTACAAGAACAGTAACTCTCAAAAAAATATATATATATATATATATATATATATATATATATATATATATATATATATATATAAGAAGTGGCTCTTGGGGACACAATCCGTTGGGTTAAGTATATTTGCATGAGTTACACTACGGAATTTAGCATGAGCGGCACTATATTGAGTCTTAGTTACCTCTTTGTCACTAAAGCCTATTGGTTCAGTGGGTATGACATGCCGTATCGTAACAGTCCAGGTTCAATTCTTGGTAGTGGATGTGCACTGCTGATGAGTACCAAAAAATAGGACGAAATGGTCGTCCGATACTTTCTACATTCTGTTGAGGATGTTTTTAGACTTGATGAATTACTTTATATATATATATATATATATATATATATATATATATATATATGATGTGCTATACCACTCAGCTACAGAGGAAGCATCTGGTTAGCAAAGTTCAAATTACTGTTTTTAAACAATAAATTTCCCTTGATCTTTCTCGAATGATCATAACTACTTGAAGCATATCTTAACATAAACAAATGAAAACATATATTATGAAATGGACTAAGTCCAACAATTATTTTAATATACTTTCTGTTCATACATTATTTTTTATAGATACAATTATTTAAGTAAATGCTCTGTTTATAATAAACAGTATTAATTACATTTACCAGCCTGAATGTCTGAGAAATTATCATAGAAAGTATGTGTCCTCCAACAGGAATTGAACCTTTGTCCTACATGGAGCCATCATTTATAGTTGGTCAGATTATATATATATATATATATAATACTACCTATTAACTTGGTAAGGTATACAATTGGAAGGAGTTTGTCTAATTTTCATATAAAATTTATCACCGAGACTTCAAAAACAATAAAAGGTTTAATTAACACGAAACAAAGCTACTTCTAAGCTAAAGCTATAATATACAAAAAAGACTACAAAGATGTCTCTAGATATACAGGTGAGATATTGAGGAATTTAAATAAAAGATTATGAACATAAAAGCATCCATTGTGCTCAATGCATTAGTTGTTCATTATAATGGGTCTAACATAATTTCAACTTCAAAAAGATGCAGTTTTGATTAAAAGCTAAAATAATTTTATTAAAGTGAAAATGTATTGAAACTGTACTAATTTTTGGATCTTCGACATTAAGTTTACATCCAAGGTGTAAAAAATCTCTCTTCCTCACCGAAATACAACTAATACGATGTGATACATTTGCAAACAATAATGAGAAAATTAAAAGTGATAAAAAGCTGAATGAAACAGCCTAAGATACATTTAGATACATTGGATATCAAAATTTTTATTTAAAAGCTGATTATCCCTGTATATTTAACCCTAGAACACTAACCATGGGTATATAATACCCAGCACAAATTTTCCTATTTTTAATTACAATTTTCAGTACCTGATTTTCTTACCAAAATAATGTTTTTCAGTTCCTATTAATGTTAACTCAAAGTACAAAGTTTGAAATGCCTGCATGTAAAATATTTCAAATAAAGATTTATATTTAATATTTTTTTTGATATTTTCAAAATTGGGTATGATATACATATGGTTAGTAGTGGTGTAAATTTAACCCTAGAACACTAACCATGGGTATATAGTACTCAGCCCAAAATTTCCTATTTTTAATTACAATTTTCAGTACCTGATTTTCTTACCTAAAGATGTTTTTCATTTTCCATTAATGTTAAAATACAAAGTTTGAAGTGCCTGCATGTAAAATATTTCAAATAAAGATTTATATTTAATATTTTTTTTGATATTTTCAAAATCGGGTATGATATACCCATGGTTGGTAGTGGTGTAACTTTAATTGATGGTTAGTGTTCTAGGGTTAATATTTTGATGTAAAATTAGTGTATGAGTGTGAATTGTAAACTGATTGGCAAAAATTACTAGAGTGTAATGCACTTCATCATGCAATGCACTACAGTTTGGCCATCTCAGAGCAGCACTTCTTAAACTATGGGTCACGACCTGAAAAATACTAAGGTGGCAAAAATTAAATTCAAACACTTTAATTTCAGTTTATATGTTATTTCATGAAAGCACAATATTTAACATAATGTTCCATGCAAGTGTTGTGGTAATAAAACACACGTGGTACCATTGAATCTAGTGCAGTGACAACAGATGTATTTTCAGTGTAAATGGTTAATACCTGGTGTCACAAAAAATGGGGTCATGAATGAAAAAAAGTTTAAGAAGTACTGGTTTCAGGCAAAATAAGCAGCAAGGATATTAACCACTTTTTATTGAGTTTTAAATGCTGAGTATCCCTGCATTTTTAATGTTTTGATGTAAAGTTTAGCAGTTATTGTATTTGTAAGAATTAAACATGTTACTAATAAGTTTTTTCCATCTTGTCATTCACTTACCCACAATTAGTCTGAGATATAAATATTTTATTTTTTTATCATGTTTTCACATATATATACCAGGCGTAACAACAAAATTGTCCAAATTGTGTAACAACAAATTTGTCCAATTGTTAGATTAAGCTTTGAAGCATTGTATCTTAGAAATGATTAAAGATATCTTCCTGGAAGATATCTTTTTTATAACACTATTGGACTCCATTTTATACAATAAGAATGTATTTAACTCCAAGTTAAAATGGTGATCCTTTTTCTATTGTGACCTCCTTATCCAGTTTTCCTCTCTATTGCTCCCTCATTTTTAGACTTTTTTTTTTTTTTTGTTGGTTCTTGAATGGACTTTGAAGATGGAATCCAGAGTATGAATGTTGGTACCATTACTGAAGGCCTGAATAATCTTTTTCCTCTCACCATTGCTCAGTTGAAAAGACAGTAGGGCTAACACAAAATGATTTTAGTTTCTAGCTGAATAACTCAAAGGTTTTTTTCAGTGATTCTTCCGACATGGTGTCAAGATGGCTAAACATCTTATCTGAAAACCTGGGAAAAAGAAGCTCAATTAGCTTAATGTTTTTTTTTTTTTTTTAGATATTAAATATTTTGTGGGATGGACAATTATCCCATGCTGTTACACAATTTGGACAATTTTGCTGTTACACCTAGTATATATTATGGTCATTTCATGTTGAAACACTAGTTCCTGTACAATCTCCAAAGTTAAGCAATGTTGAGCCTGGTCAATACCTAGATGGATGACCACTTGGGAATTGAATACCTGGTGCTGTAAACATGGATGTGTGGGTGGTGTAATGAATAAAAAAATTCTTACAATGTAAAAAAAAAATATTTTCTAGCTTTAAATAACTTGTAAAGGGTTGATAAGCCATAAAAAATGAATGAATCAATATTATGGTATAGGTAATTATGAATATAACTGTATGCTCTTTAATGTAAATACAACAGTGTTTCAAGTCAAGTCAATTTTCTTAATAAAATATGGAAGAATTTCACTCTGAATTTTTTTTATTTCTAAATTCCTAGTATGTTTAAAAGATATTGGTAGATACCACACCTTTCCAGCAATGACCTACTATAATAAATGTATATGTACAGGTGAACATATGCACATTAATATTATATGTCAAGGTTCACTATGAATGTAACATCTTTTGCTTTTACTGATTTGTAAATCTAGTAGACAGATTTTCAAGTACAAATGCTTACCTATTTTTTTCTCTTCCAACGATGAGAAATTTTATTTTGTCAATATTCCCTGACCAAAAGAAGAACTAATTATAGAATATATTCAAGCGACATGCCTTTTTCTGTGCTGTGCTGTCAGCTTAAATGTGCAGGTGCTATGATGGATAATGGCTCAGAATTGTTAATCAGAGAGCTGAGTTCCAATTCCGCTTGGGTTCGTTATATTCACTTATGCACAAATACCCTTGGGAAATGTGTGACTCCACCTCTTCTCCCCCATCTATCGGTTAATTAGTAAAACTTGTATCACTAAATCATTATTATCTCAAAAAAAAAACTTACAATATAAAAAATATTTTCTGGCTTTAAATAACCTGCAAAGAGTTGAGAAGCATTATGAATGAATGAATCAATCAATATACTCAAGCCACCTGGCTTTTTTTTTTTGTTTAGTTAATTTGGTTTACGAACATGAGGCATATCCTTGAACCATCCACGTTAACCTTTTTTGCTTAAACCAGTATTTCTCAACTTTTTTAAGCAACAGCACACCTAGGAGCAAATGAAAATATCATGGCACACTTAGCAAGATTTTTAAAGGATATACATTTAAATGTAAGGAAATAAAACCATAGACCTGAAAATAATAGACACACAAATATGAACATATTTCAATGGTTCTATTCGACTATCTCTGCAACTTTTAGTGTGAAATACAAATTCTGTATCATTACTACTTCCGCACACACACACACATATATATATATATATATATATATATATATGTAGAAATTTTGAAAAACAAACAAAAATCCATAAATGTAGTTAAAATGAAAAGAATTATCGGCGTCAGACGTTTGGTTTTAATAAACCATTTTCAAGACAAAATTCATTAAAATACAAATTCAGTTCAATATGACGAAAACGATGGACATAAAAACACAAGTCTTATCCAAGAGTAAAACAGATAGCTGACAATTTTAAAAAGATCAGCTTTCCGTTTAACGTGGTCACGCCAGTAGTCACATAGGCGACGCTTTCATAACGTATTCCTAAAAGTTCGTGATTATTTTAAAATTCCTGTATTTCGGATAAGCTTGCAATCTTCCATGTTAAAAAAAACGAATTTAGGTTTGTGTTTTTATGTCCATCGTTTTAAATCATATTGAACTGAATTTGTATTTTAATGAATTTTGTCTTGAAAATGGTTTATTAAAATAAAACGTCTGACGTCGACAATTCTTTCATTTTAACTACATTTATGGATTTTTGTTTGTTTTCAAAATTTCTACATTCTGTCGGATTTATATCCATTTACACTTGCTTATATATATATATATATATATATATATATATATATATGCTGTGACTATGTTTTGGGGTACACTTAGGCACAGCAGGTGAGAATTACTGGCTTTAGTCATATTGCTACAATATCTACATAGATAAATTATAAAAAAAAATAACAAATATAGAAATGAAGACGTATCCCATCCTTTCAAGTTTAAAATGGTTGGGCATTATTTATTTCCTATCAGCAGGGATAGAATTCTCAGAAACAACCAAAATAAACCGGAATTAAAAAATTTTATAAATGGAAAATAAAAAGAGAAAAATTTGAAACCAATGTCTCTATAGAATTTCTGTTAATTAGATATTTTTAATAAATCTTGGAATGTTGAGATTTTTAATCCAACTCGTCATTTTATTAAAGATTCAGATTTGATTCTTTTTTTTTAGTTTATAAAGAAAGCTTTACCTTTCAGAATTCTCTGAATTATTTAAACAAGCAACCTTATCTTTCTTTTTGTTGCTGAATTTCATCTGATAGGTTCCCCAGCCTGCTTTGTATTATCTGAAGCATTAATATAGGACCATTGTCATTATTCCATTAAGCAATCTAATTAAACTCCTTATTTCTGTTGTTTTTATAATTTTATTTTGCCTCGTCTCTTCCTCAGGTCATTTCTTCAAATGAATATAAGGTTTTGACCAGAATGCTTTTTTTTCCTCACCCCAACATTCACAATTATTACTTCCTTTCTTTAAATTTTGCCATCAATGATTAAAAAAAAGGCTTTAAATGATTGAAGCCTAAGGGTCTTAGCAAAGATTATCATTCTTTAAACATTGTAGACTGGCACTACAGATTCACAAAGAATAGTACCAAATAACAGAAATTATATCATTCAGGATTGCCAACAACAGCAACAACTAAAATGGATAGCACATGCAACTCAAAGAAAAAATAATGATATAATCAAAATGTTGACATTCCACATTACTTCAAACAAAAGGTTAGGAAGGAAACTTCCCATCAGTACTACTAGACTTAAAAAGCCTATTTTCCTGAATTAAGAGAAAGATTTTTATAAATTTCTATGGACAGCAGTATTGGCTGCTCAGTCAATGAATGTCAATGTTTCTTTGTTACTTCAATCCATTTAAGAGATTTCATAACTTCAAGCAACAAAGATTAGCTTTTTACAAGGATTAGCAAAAGAAAACAATGTGGAGATAAATCTTTAGCTTGGAGGCACAGATTTAAATGGCTTGAGTGACAAAAGTGAGCAGAAAGAGGAAAAATAGTTTAAAAGGAGAGGAAATTCTATTCAAATCTCCTTGAGGATTATCAGATATAACACTTGAGGAAGCTTGGAAAACACCCAAGCCAAAATATAAGGATACTTGTCTGAAAGGTTCATTAAATGACATTAATTCATCTCGAATGTTCAGAAAACACTAGAAAACTGGTGATTTTTATCGAGAGGCTGCTCATGAAAGAAGCATGCTGAGAAAACTTTACTGACCACTTGATGTAACACCAGCAATCAATAAAAAATATATAAAAAAAAACTGATAAAAACAACAGAAATGAAGATATTAATAAATAATGTGTAGAATAAGGGTCATTTTTTTTGTCTCATCTGGAAATCTGATCTACCAGACAATTTCAAACGGAGATTCTTTTGAAGCACTATATAGATGGTCTTAATGTATGGTGTCACTGGTTGAACATTAACTAAAACCCTAGTGCAGTGATTCTCAACCCCCATTCTGCACAATTCTCTTAAATGTGCCACAAAATGTTTTCATGGCGTACATACATACATACACACACACACACACACACATATATATATATATATATATATATATATGCATGTGGAAGTAGTAATGGTACAGTGTTAGTATTTGAATAAATGAATAAGTGTTAAACTTTTTTTGTCAAATAATTCTTTTGACTATGTTATTTTTAATACTGTGTTTTAATATTCATTTTTTTTAAATACTTGAATAGAAACATTAAAATAAAGTAAGTTCATATCTATCTACCTGTTGGGGCGCACCCACCTTCTAACTAGTAATGGACTGGTCCCTCTTATATAAGTGTTGGGGCGCACCCACCTTCTAACTAGTAATGGACTGGTCCCTCTTATATAAGTCAGCTCTGGAGAGAGAGTGACAGAGCGTCAGAGAGAGAGAGTCAGCGTGAGCAGTCCAGATAAGCTTACCCAGTACATACCGTTGGACTATAGACTTTGGATATTGTTTCGTACTAACCAACCTTCGTTCTACTAATCACTCTATTGTTAATTGCTTTTATGAATATACCAGTATTTTCCTCTACAACTGTGTTTGTCTTGATTCATACACCGACATGCAGGAAACTCACAACATCTCAACAGTATGTATTTTTTTAAATCTATGGGTTTATTTCATAACATTTAAATGTTAAAAGTTAAAAAATTTTGCAAAGTGTGCCATGATATTTTCATTTGCTTTTAGGTGTGCTGTTGCTTAAAAAGGTTGAGAAACAATCCTAGAGTCTAAGCTTGATGAGACTTACATATGAATGCTGAGATCTATAGTTAACATCTCTGAGACATCATCCAACTAAATCACAGCTCTATGGATCCATCACTGATAATTCTGCCATCTTATGCAGAATGCACTTTGCAGGACACTGCTGGTGAGAAAAACAAGAACTTGTGAGCGATCTACAGCTCTGGACCCCTAGCCATGGTGCAAGACAGGCTGGTCACCCAACAACTACCTACGTTGACCAGTTATGGTATGACACAGAATGCCACCCAAATGACCTTACAATCTTGATGCAGGACTGTGATGGTTGGTGTGATAGATTCATGAATAAATAAAATAAAGATTTGTCTCAGAAACTCAGATAATATATTCCATGTTGAACTTTTCTGAAGACCTCCATCTGCATCCAGAGACAACAGCTATAATTTCTCTCTTGTCAAGTTTCAGCGGCTATAGTCTCCAGCCTTTTTCAGTTGTTTGTTATATTCTGAGCTGTCAAACTTGATTTGAGTGTTTTCTTACAAAACCCATCTCAGCCTTCAAGTTCTTTCACCCGTCCCTCCCATGTCTCGTAATATGAACTATGACCTTCCAGTAAGCAATTTGATATTTTATTGTGTTTTCAAAACACCAAATCTCTTTTGATAGGTCACTCCCAAATTTTTTTTTTTTTTTTTTACTTTTCTATGTGATGTTTCTTTAGGATGCTGTCACTCACGGGTCTCCATAACTTCCTGCCTTTTTAGCTCTTAGCAAATTTTGTCTTTGCCACCACTCCTAATCCCTGTTCTGTCTACCATTTACACAAGCTCATTAGGCAGGGGTTATGCACTGCTTTCCTCCTCCTCTTGTGAGTGTCAAATTCCCAAGCCCTCTTTCCTTATGTGCCCTAGAAATTTCAAGTACCTTTTTTGTGTCCTTTTCTGATATCTTCTTTTTTTTGTGCCATGTCCTTTAGGGTCGTAGGCAATCATAGCACTCCACATCTTCCTGTCCTTTGTAGCTCTTAATAAGTTTTGTCTTTTTGCTATTTCTCCTAAACCCTGTTCTACCATCCATTTAATCAAGCTCATGTTACACACTGCTTTTTTCTTTACCTCAATCTGTCCCATGAGTATCGGGTTTTCCAAACCCTCCTTCCTCATTACATGCCCCAGAGACCTCAACTGCATCTTCCTGATGTTAAATATGTTTCCGTTTTGTTTCCATTCTCTCCAAAACCTCATTGTTACTCACATGTTTGGCCTATGATATCCTCAGAAGTGTACTTTTTTGATTCTGTTTTCTCTTTGTCATTGCTCACATGTTCAGTCCATGGTATTCTCAGCTGTAAACCAAATTTCTGTTGATTCAAGTCTCTTCTTCTGTGAGATTATCTAGCATTTATTGCCATATTGGCAAATTGATATTACTTAGCAGTTGAGTACTCTTTTCTTTGGTTCTAATCAAATTTTCATGACTCTTGACAGTATTTTTTTAATTATTGGTTTTCAAATGTTACTTATAATTATACTTGACCTGCTGCTCCAATGACTTGACTATGATACCTTTATTTATCATGTTCTTCAAAATTATATTCTGTCAGTGTTTGGCTTTGCTTCAGGAATTAATGTTTTTTGGGGGTTTATTTTTGCTTACAAGTCACATGATTGCAAATATCTGCCACCTTCTTTTTGGTAATTTCGTGATAAAATATTTTTAATATATTTTGTCTAATGTTCACCAAAGTTTTAATTCTTTCATTTTTTTTTCAGCTTGACTCTCCTGAAAACATTCGGAATAAATTAGAAAGGATGGAAAATGATATTCACCAACAGTTACGGGAAAATGAAAAGTTGCTGGAACAACTACAACAATACAGGAAAATATCAGGTTTGAACATTTTCTTTTAAATTTCCAGGTCTCTGGTGATAACTGGAACCACCATATCATCTTATTTCATTCATTATGGGCAATACCCTCTAATCCAAAGCGTTTTTTTTTATTTTTATTTTATAGACAGAAGGGAATCTTTAATTTTTATTTTCCCATGGCTATTCACTGCAGTCATATATATTTCTGTTAACATATGGAACCACTATTTCCTCTCATTTTATTCATTATAGTTATATCAATTCCTAAATCCAAAATAATTTATCAAAAGAAGTAATTCTTTAGCCTTCAAGCCATGGACACACACACACAAATTTTCACCAAATACAAGTCCCAAGAGCCACTCAAGCTGGAGAGTTACTGTTTGGTGTTCTATAGTGATGATTTTTTAGCTTATATGTGGCACAAGGCAGAAAGTGAAATCAAACTCATTATTCATTCATAATAGATCTACTGAGACAAGCTTGTTAACCATTACACTACCTCAAAGTGCCCCTGTGTAGTTTTGTATGAGCATAAAAAGTGAAGTTCATGGGTTTATGCAAGAAAGATAACAGTTAAACCTAGACTTGAAGAGATCAAGATTGTAATGATTGTGAAAAAAATCCTTTCAGGAGTATGTTCCACAAAGCAGCAGTTCTTGGGAAGAAGCTGTTTGAGTGGAACTTAATTCTTACTTTAGAAATACAAACAGAATTAGGATGATTCATATTTGTCTAAATGGCATGGCAGGTTCCAGTTGTGAAGATCAGGGGTGGTGATACTAAGTAATGTAGCTTGTCAGAACATATGTCATCGAAATAGTAATAAAGTAGTGAAAGGCTTACATTTCATCTGTGGGGAAATGATATGCTTCATTCTCTTAAGCATCTGATTATCACATGAGATAATGGTAGCAGCCTGTTTGGTCAAAGTTATCCTTTAATGTTCTCACTAGGTGATGAGACTGGAGTGACTTCTCCAGAGTACAGGCCTTGGCAATGAAATAAGAAGGCCTTGTGCTGCTCAACACCACATGGCCTCTCTCTCAGCTATAGGATGCAAAGGAATACAGGGCATTACATTTGAGGCCAGCTTGGCTGCAGGATTTGCCAAAAGGGTGCCAGCATTGACAGCTCATTGACTACTGGACTCCACTCCAGATTTTTTGTCTGGATTTAATTCCATTGTCTTTTTTGCATTTGGACATGGCCGCAAGATAGTGAAGGCTTAAAATAAAAACTTTTCTTTTCACTATGGATATGTAATACAATGAAATAGTTCTATTTACTTGTGGAACCACTATATCCTCTTATTTCATTCATTATAATAATTACCCCCAATCCAAAACAATTTAGAAAATGAAGTTTATAGTCATGGATATGCAGTAAATATTGAAGTAGTACATATTTCTATTAACATATTGAACCTCCATATCCTCTTATTTCATTGATTATAATAATTGCCACTCTCCTTAAACACTGCCCAAATCCAGAATAATCCATAAAGAGAAATAAATCTTTATCCTTAAAACCATGGATATATAACACAATGACTACTGAAATAACTCCAACTTTCCTTAATATATGGAACGGCCAAATTCTCTGAATTTCTTTCACTGTGGTAACTGTTCCATAATTCAAAGTAATACCCTGTCCTCACTTTCCAGTCTCAATAGAGTTCAAAAGCGTCTCAGAGTCCTGGGGGACAAATTATTTTTCACCCTCCAATCTCTTTCTCACAGGTAGGATGTGGCAAGCCTCTTGCTACTCTATCACTATTTTCATGGAAAGTGCTTGGATGAATCATTCATGGTTCAGCCAGTTCTAAATTTTATGGCTAGGACCCATCATACCACTTATATTGTAGGAAAATTATCTCCCCCCTCCTATCTGTATAAACTGCCTCTTAACATAACCCTCTACCATGAGTGGCTCCTGGGCCTTGTACAGCGTGAACCTTACTGTAAAAAAAAAAAAAAATATTAGTACTCACTAAAATGGACAATGCCTGGGTAAGAAAGAATTAAATAGCAAATACCCCCTACCCCTGAGATTACAGAGTTGGAACTTCTGGATGTTTCTCACTGGCAGCCATTTTGTATACTTAATGAGCTCAAGTAACCTAATTTGCATAATTATTGCTGTGTCCTGTGAGGATTTGAGCACCTATTGTGCTCTGTCAAAAATCAATAATTTCATTTTGAACAATATTGCCCCAGAGTTTAACTCAATGATATCAAGTTAAAATGAATTCATCAACTACCTTTAACCTAATCTTCTGCCCCTGATAGATATTTAGAGATTCTTAACAAAATCCAATGAAGAACCAGTAATGTTATTGGTCCTGACCTGGCATCCAGGATTCAATCCCTTTCCCACTGCAATAATGTATCTTCCCTGTGTCTTTTCTTTTACATTCATAGTAATTGTTCTGATGAACTTTGCTCTATGTTACCTAGACTTTAGTGGTATATAAATTCAAGAAATAAAGTAAATTTTTTTAAAAAAATAAAGAAAAAATAGACATCAGCATGGCTGATGCTAACCTCCAGGAGAGTGAACCATTGTGCCTTCTCAGGCTAATGTCTTCCACTGACATGAATGAAGTGGAAACAATATATTGAATCAATTACTAGGTTTGCTTGCTGCTTGGGAAGTTAGTAAACTCTACCATGCTAGGCAATTCATCTTGCCAGAATCTATCTTACATATTTATAAGTCTACCATTCATCCATACTTTGAATATTGCTGCCACATCTGATCTGGTGCTTCTGCTATATATTTAAAGATCCTTGATAAAACCCAAGGAAGCATCTGCAATCTAATCTTGATTCCAGTACTTCTTATGGGCAATGAATGGTTTTTATCTTAAATCGTTTCCTCTGTTCCATTGCGAGGTCCTGTTGTTAATATATAGGGTCTATACACCAGGGATGAATAAGACTGACAGTTTTCATCAGTTGAAATAGATCTATCTCCCCCCATATGAGGTAATTTTGATTTTGTTGTGTAATACTATTTATTGGATCAGTTATAATAAATACATTGAGCTGTTTTTGTGGATCAGTTTTAATATTTTATATTACTAAGATCCACTTGGATTATATACTATACTTGGATTTATTACCTTTACTATATATATATATATATATATATATATATATACACACACAAACCAAAGGAAAAAATCAATACATAATTAAAGAGTTAATGAAATGGTTTAAATCATCCAGACAATTTATTAAAAATTACAAGAGGAAATGAATAAAAGATTTGACCTAGAAAAATCCTTGATGAGGTAAGAGGAAGTTGGGGAAGAAAAACAAAAAGGTGTCAATCCAACAAGCAGGGCTGGTAGAAGAATACAAAGTTACAGCCAGTGAAAGACATTGAAAATAAATCAAATTTATATCGTCATCATCTAATCTAAAAAGATTATCATATATGTGTATATGTGTGTAATAAAAAATGTGAAAAAGCAAAATCTCTGTTGCATGTACGCACATATCTATACACATCACAAACATATACATATATATATATATAAACATATACACACACGCATATATATGTGTGTGTGTGTGTATATATATATATATATATATATATATATATATATATATATACACACACACACACACACACACAGTGCTGTGCAAAAGTAAGTGAACCCTAACATAATATTTTTAAAAATTGTTTCTTTTTTTTTCTTTCCAGATGATTGATAAATCTTAATTAAACTATATATTCATTAAGAAAAACCTTTATTAAATCAATTACAACCAGTTTCAAAAATTTTTATCAAGCTGGAATAGCAAAAGTATGTGAACCCTTGCATTTAATATTTGGTGACTGCTCCTTTTGAAGTTACACTGTCAACCAGTCTTTTTCTATCATTTTTAAGAAGTTTCTTGCAATTGTGAGTGCTGATTTTTTACCATTCTTCTTTTCAAAACTCCCACAATTGCTTGATTTTACCTGTTTTTTTTTTTTTTTTGCATGTACTGCCTTCTTTCACTTGAATCACAGATTTTTTAATTGGGTTTAGATTTGGACTTTGACTAGGCTGTTCCAAGACTTGAAATTTCATTTTACAAACCCATTCTTTTATGGATTTGCTTTGATGCTTCAGATCAACATTGTCCTATTAGAAGTTCCAGCCTGACCTAAACCCAACTTTTGAACTGAGGACAAGACATTTACATTCAAAATTGCTTGGTATTATGCAGAGTCCATTGTACTGTCAATGCATATTATTTTGCTTGTTCCAGCTGCAACAAAGCACCTCAAAATCATAATGCTATCACCACCATGTTTAATGGTTGGTATCAAATTCTCTTCAAAAGCCATATTTGGAGCTCACTGATATACCACTTATTGTTCCTCCCCAAAAGCTCGTTTAGTTTCATTTAACCATAAAACCTTTTGCCAGAATATTTCTAGCTTATTAATATGAGCTTTGGCATAACTTGCTTGGGCTATTTCATAAGCAGTGGCTTTTCTAGGCATTCTGCCATGAAGATCAGCATTGTTCAGATTTTGTCGCACTGTAGATGTATGCGCATTGATTCCGACATTGGCCAGTGAGCATTGGAGAACCAAAAAGTCCACAGCAGGATTTGTCTGGGCTTGCCGAACTAGATGTCTGCTTGTTTTTTTGTGGACGGCTACTTCTTGATTGTGATACCATCATAACAAAAACCTTCCATTAATAAATAATTTGTTGCACATTGGAGAAGTGCCCACCAAATCATTTTGATAGATTTTTGTAGCTTTCTCCATCGTTATATGTTTCAAGTATGCAACTTTTTTTTAAAGCTTCAGGAAGTTCTTTACAAATATATTTTTAAAATTTAGTCTCTAACTGCACAAACAATGAGTTATAACTTCGGTATACACAACTTACCAAAAAATTGAACACCCATCATTTTGATCTGTGCACAAAAGACTATTTGCATTGGCAATGATGTAAAAAAAAAATACAAAATATAAATGTGAGGGTTCACTTACTTTTGCGCA